CTCTTTCTCTCTCTCTCCTGTGTGATCCCTCATAAGCTGGTGCTAGTGTTAGGAGACCTTCACATTCCACATCGGTGCAACAGCCTCCCAGCTAAGTTCAAAAAACTGCTGGTTCCAGGAAAGATCCAACACATCCTCTGCACTGGAAACCTCTGCACCAAGGAGACCTATGATTACCTCAAAACCTTGGCTGGGGATGTTCACGTTGTTAGAGGGGATTTTGATGAGGTAATGTCCTCTGTTATACACACTTCTTACAAAAAGGGAATGTTTGAATTTAAAAGGAACTATGCCGTACACCTTGGTTTGTAATGAGTGAAATTGACTCTGTTGTCATCCAACATGGTGAAAGCTAACTCTTGGATTTTAGTGTCCCTTGTCTTGCATAATTCTATTCTAATAAAAGAATGCAAACCTAACCAAGTCTTTTAAAATAATTCAGCAATAACAGGTGGCATTTGATGGCAGAGTTGTTAGATCTCAGCAACTTTACAATAACATTGGAAGTCTTGTAAATTTGGAAATAAACCATACAGTTCTGCTGTTTCAGAACTTAAGATTTCCAGTCCCCCACTTAAAGATGCAAAATAATTGGCTTTCATAATGCACTTGACTGTGGGTGGGTACAGTACTGTCAGGTGTATTTGGCAGCAAAGAAAGCCTTGAAGATTTCTAAGACCTTTTGAATAGTAGCAGAGATGCTTATTTATGTGGAAGAAATGCAGGCCAAATAACTAAATGTGAAGTATATCTGACCTCCACATTATGTGTGTTTGATTTCAGAACCTGAATTATCCAGAGCAGAAAGTTGTAACTGTTGGGCAGTTCAAAATTGGGCTGATCCACGGCCATCAGGTTATTCCATGGGGTGATGTGGCCAGTCTGGCATTGCTACAAAGGCAGTTTGATGTGGACATTTTAATTTCAGGGCATACACACAAGTTTGAGGCATTTGAGCATGAAAACAAGTTCTATATCAACCCAGGCTCAGCTACAGGAGCTTATCATGCCTTGGAGAAGTGAGTAGAATAAAGGAAGAATGCTATATATTTGTTTTAATTGCATTTGAATATCGATATAAGTTAGTGTAGATTACCAGGCTACATAAGTATTTATCATCTTGGTGACAACAGGCCTTGCATGTTGCTTCACCTTTCCAGAAGGCTCCTCTGCATTTTCCAGTGCTTCTCAAGAAAGGATCTAATGAACTGCTGAAGCTGGGTTTAGATTTGCATGCATTGTTATTGCCTACAGCAACAATATTTTCCAGTCTGTAAAGTGCAACTGAACCCTCTTGGACTTTGTTGAGTAGAAGAGAGCTCCTAGCAGTGATGGTAGTAAGAGGGAACCATGTCAACTGCTTGTTAGCCAAGCTTTATTGAATGGAGACTACAAGTGGTAATTCTGTTGCTGTTGGGGATTTTTCTTACAGTACTCTAAATGCATTTGACTCAACCAAGCTTAATATATTGAAGTGTTACTTCCTCATTTTCTGTGGTGGTGTGTGCTTTAAAAAATCAAATTCCTTGGAGCAAGCCATAGTAAATCTAGACCTGAAAAGTGTTTTATGTTGCTGCTTCTGTAATTACCAAAAATTAACAGAATCAATTTTTCTTTCCAGCAACATCATTCCTTCCTTTGTGCTGATGGACATCCAAGCTTCCACAGTAGTAACCTATGTGTATCAGCTAATTGGAGATGATGTGAAAGTAGAAAGGATCGAGTACAAAAAATCCTAGGACAGCTTCACGTGGCTGGTGCCTCTTACCAACTCATTCCAGAGCTGCAGACTACTTGCAATATTTGATTGCTAGTTTATAGTATTAAAACACTCACTTGCTAAGTACTTATAACAATGTAACTAGCTTAGAGTAGCTTTCAAATAATGACACTTGAGTAATTTGCTCTGTATGGTTAATTTCTTAAAATATTCTGCTAAGTAGCTAAGTGCACAATGCTATGGGAAATGTGCTTGAGTTTGTTAAAAAACAGCCCTTAATGTAATAAAATTGTTTTCCTTCATTTTTTTTTTTGTACAAAGCCTAATTTTGAATGAAAAATCATTAGCAAAACACGCTATACCACTAGAACATCCATAAATTGTTAAATATTTTTAACAATTTAAAATTATTTAAAAATATTTTAAACCATCAACTCCCAGGTAGTACTGTTTTGATAACGGTGTTTACAGAACCTTCATATTTAATATAATTCAGCAACTTTATTTCCAGAATGGATGTTAACCTCAGCTGAACCTTTTTATGAAAGGTAAGGATTGTATGTTAAGGTAATGACTGTGTGGCGCACACATTTGGTGCTTAGCCTCTCCTTGAACAGACATTCATCTGAACAAGAAGCAAGTACAAACATTTGGATAACATTTAAAAACATGTTCAAGATTTTGTTTGTGAAATAGCTGTTCTCTAAAATTACTGGAGTGCTGCAAATGTAATTTTGTAGCATATGCCAAATTAGTGTTCATTGACAGAACAGTTAATCTGACCAGTTCCTGTTTGCTTACCACAGGCTTGAAGGAAAAGTAACATTTTTTATTCTGATTCAATTTGCTCCTGAAGTTATAAAATAGAAATGGTCCATTTTATGGACAGTGAGTTTAGACCTCTTAGTTTAATTTGACACCTTACACCTCTTCAAAAGTCTGAAGATCTTTATTTTGCTTTCCAAATCCTCTATTAGGATAAGAGGACCAGGACTTAATTGCCCATTCTTAGCTATATGGAACCTTGGCACCACATACTGTAGTAGTTCCCATTGTGTATACCTGCCTTCTCTGTGCTAGCTTGTCCAGTAAGAAATGGACCTCCAGATGCACCTCTTGGATCACTACCACTCTTAGTTTCTACAGAACAGCAGACATCTCTGAGGCTTCTCATAGTGGTTTGTAAGCTCCAGCATATGGCTCACTCTCTCTCCAGCTTTAGAGAGAGCACGTGCAGTTCTCCAAAAGATGATCTCTCTCTCTACTACAATTACCTCAGAAAGGGATATTCCTCTTGCAGAATACTCTCAGACTGTTTAGTATGGTGTAAGAGCTGGTTGTCCAGCTTTCTTCCCACTTTGGAAGTAATGTGCTTATTAAACCTAGTCCCTTAGTTAACTGCATATCATGCAATTTACTGATACTGAAAAACAAAGTGATCAAAACAGATTAAAAGGCCATCTGCTTATTGTTACAGATGTTTTAATGATGCTACTAGAACATCTGTAATTAGGTTTTTAAAAAGTACAATCAACCTGGCTTATGTTTACCTATGTTGTATTGTTTTTAAATGTACTCTGCTAGTATTTCATTTCTAGTCTAGTGAGATGCTTTGATTTCTTTGGAACATTTAACCCATGTGGTCATATCTCAATGGAACAGTGTCAAAGACTAACTTAAAATGGGAGGAAAGTTTAAATAAATCGAGTCATGCAATGTTCTTCTTGCTGATATGAGTGCTTACCTTATTTATTATACAAAGTGGGTGTTTTGGGGTGGTCAAAAAGAAGGAAAATGGAATATTAGTTTCCACTAGAAAAGGTCATCTGTGGCTAATTTGGTTATGCTACAAA